AAAGAAATCTGGATAGTTGGAAAGTGTGCTAGATTGAATGTACACTTAAAATTATGGTAACAACACGTATCAGCTTTTCAGAGATGAAGGAGAAGACGAGCCTAATACTCGTATAATTGTGACAGAGAGTGAGCAGAAGTAAATCAAGAGAAAAAGCACACCAAGAGAGTTTTAAAATGTTATAAAGATAGGAAAGTTCAAAGAAAAAAAAGCGCGCAAATTAAGCATTAAATTACATAAATAATGCTCAGTAGCATTCGTTGAAATAGGCCATCTGATCGAATAAACCGAAAAAAGTTGTTGAAATTTTTCCCTTACCCGTGAACGAAATAATTAGTATGTTATATTAAATAAGCAAGCGCGGAAACATGTTCAATAATTTTGGTATAATAAAACTAGCAGTAAATCATTTTTCACGTAATATTTTTCATAAATCACATCTAATATAACAACATATATTAATTATTTTCCGATTTCTTTGTGATTCAATTTTCAAGAAAACAGTTTTTAAATATATCATAGCACGTCAAAATTCTTTTGTTAAGGGCGCCGAGAAAAACTAAAACACCGAAACCTTTTCAGCGAGCCGACCAAACAATATACAATGAGGAAGAAAATCAATATTAACTCTATGAATAAAAGGCGTTTCATTGAACGGGAGTTTATATATAAAAGCTTTTGAAAGCTTTGTTCCATTGAAAAATTTTACAAAAGCTTTTTTTGTTGGTGCTTTTTAATATTTCCTTTGCTATGTTTTGCTTTAGCTCTGCGTTATTTACTTCGCCATATAATCATGTATATAGACAAACTGCTAATCACGCCAAAAGGGGAGTTTCTCTGCAGTTTTCCTGCAGTGCTATCTGAACGATACTCGCATGTTTTGGAACAATCTACAGCTCTTTATGAACGTTTATTCCAGTAATTCCAGGGCACGATCAAAAATCAAAAAACAAGCAAAGAGCAATGAAATAAAAAACAGACTTAACAAAAAGTTTTGGTTTAGTTTTTAGTTGCTGAAAAATGCCTACATCCTACAAATATGAAACAACTTTTGAAAATTTTTTATGATTATCTAAAGAATAGGTTGTTCTCTAGCAAAGCAAAACTATGTTACTTATTAATTTATTACTTACGCCATTTAGTCGTAGATAAATAGGAATAACATGGGAAAGATTTGGATAATCGATTTTCGATAAAATAAGTTAAAAACTAGTAAATTTTTGTTCTAAAGAGTTCAGTTGCTCATCCTGAATATTCAAATGTCCATATCTGTACTATGCTGAAATAGTACAAAAAAGTTTTCTAATCTGCTTTAAATTCACATTTTTTATGAACATTTAATGCTTCAATTTAACAAACACGTTTGTTCAAAAACTACAAAAACTTTTGTCATAATAAAATATTCGCTGTATGCGATATAACAAACAGCGGGTTCTTAGTATAAAAATGGAATACAAGCTTCAAATACAGTTTATTAAATAGCCGATTGTGCAGTTCTTCCATATTTCGCAAACTATAAGTATCATTTCGAGTACAGTCCTTGATCTAATTTGTTTCAAACTTATGTTTACTGATTAGTAAAACTAAGGATAGAAATTTTTAATAATAGTTATTTTTTACTGGTTACATCATGAAATTCAAGTTTCCTCCAAAACGACTTAGACTAGAACTTTTTACAAAATTTTAAATAAGGGTACCTATTTCTGCAAAAATTAGATTGAACTTTCGATTCTGCCTTGAAATTTTATTTTTCTCCATCAAATAATTTCCCTCAAGCTTTAAATCTACGCCACTAACCGTTGATTTACTCACTACAGTTTAGTCATTTGTCTATCGTAGGTGGTGAGTTTCATGACCCATGTTGTCATTATGGTATTATTTTATTTTTGAACATACACAATGTTGGTTAAATCGTAATACTACTTAAGTATGGGTTTGACTCACCCAGTATATTGACGAATTTCAGTGACTTTAAATTTGAAATGTTCCTGTGGCGTCAAAAAGTGTCGTTTCATTATGCATTCGACGTCCCTCTAAATAACTTAGAATAGCACTTAAAAACTCGACCGAAAACAAAGAATTGCCGCTTTGTGATCACTAAGATACGGTGCCCATATTAAAAAAAAACAGCTTTATAACAAAGCTAAGAAGGAATTAACAGACATTTACTTTAAACGGCTTTAGTCTAAAATGTTGAATAACGCACCAACTGTACTAAATAGCTGTAGGAACGTAAAATGTATGCATTAAATTTTAATTGACGCTGCTCGGATTTGTGAAAAATACAATCATACAATACTACATACGAATGTGTCGTTTGAAATGTATGTAAATATATATATATATATGCCATTACTTTTATAGATATGCAATTCTTTCTAAATATTTATTGGATATCCATCAGCGAAGTGATAAATGTAAGCTTATTATGAAAAAAGCTGGTCAGTAGATATAAAATATATACGCTTGCCTAAAAATTATTTGCGTGATATTAAGCAAAATCTCCTTTCAAAATAATTTTATGTAGAGAAAAAAATTTTGTCCTCGGGCATTTGTTTTAAGATTTTATAGTCAAATGCTTCTCAAAAGAGAAAAAGAAAATAAACATCAAATAATTACTAGTAATAGGGTTTATATTTGTAAATTAACTGCCATCAAGGGCGGAAAAGAAAGCTCTGTTAGAAAGGTACACACACAATCGTACCCTTTTAACTTAACAATGATGTTATTAGTGCGAGACACAGCTGAGATTTGTGCGCTTTGTGAATATACTGGCATGCTCTAGAATATATCCAGAAAAACTCTTGAATCGTGTTCCATATGAATAGCTTCAACTTTTTAATAAGAAATTGTATAATAGTAATTTAAGTGTTAACAAAAGCAGTTTTTGGTGTCTAATATTTTACAAAACTTTTTATATTTTACTAAAACAATTCATAACAATTGGGTTACTTTATGTCTTGCAGTTTTTATTTATAAAATTTATTTCTACAAACGCCCACTGGATTACAAAGTATTTTTATTTCTATGGAATCTTCTCGTGCATGAAATATTTTGCTGGTCAAAACTTCCATTTCAGTCCCAAATTGCAGTTTGCATACTTACAACATCGGGCTTCTTTCCATTCGCCATGTTGTGGAAATGTTAGCAAGATTTCACTTCGCTCACTACAGTACTTATTAAAGTAGTAATAGTGAATTACCTTAACTTCACCAGCTTTGTATGTTTTTTCCCTCCAACAACAGGTTTTACTGCACAATTAGTTCGGGTTAGTCCAACAATCAGTACACGAATAGCCACGTGAAGTGTCACAACTAAGAGATATTTTTAATGAAACTCTAAAATGTTTCAAAAATAGTTTCGACATAAATAAAACGTAAATACTTGTATTTAAGTCAATTGGAAACATACGATACATACAAACATACAAAACAGACAGATTGCACACTCTGAGTACGAACTCGTCGAACAAATTGAGGCTGAATTAGTTTTTACAGCTACTTCTTTGGGAGTTTTGGAGGTTCTGGAACTTTTGAAATATCTTGATGTTTGACGAAGTTGCGGGCAAAAGGGTGAAGGTGAGCACAAATTGAACAGTCGAACGGTTGCCAACATTCAGGGCTCAATATCTCGTCTAATGTCGAATTTTCTCGAGATAGGTGAACTTCCTCTAGATAAGTAATATTTTTCCAAAATTTAAAAAAAAATTGCTTGTATCAAAGTATCATGTTTCAAGGAACAACCAGCGCCTCAGCTCTTTGAAAATTTAAACTTCCCTACCGCTGAAACGGTGCCCAAAATGAACGTCGGCCCTGAAACAGCTTTTTAAGAAAAGTCTGGGGGCTTTTTAAAAGTTTTTAAATTTACGAAAAATATTAATAACGGACCGAGTTACAGGGTAAGGAATGGAAGTTAAGTGCAAGTTTGAGAGTTACTCTTATGCATAACTTTTCGTACTTTTTTGTACAAGTTTGAAATTTTCCAAATCGGCCCGATATTAACCGATTTATACAGATATTGTCTACAAACAAAAATTCCCAAAGAAATTGCGACTTTAAATCCGAAAAGAAGACATTGATTACATTTGTCCTGAAAAATTCCATGATCTATTTTAAAAATGAGTTAATCAAGGTAAAAATTCTAACGGAAAATCGTCTTCTAGACCTACAAAAGTTTTCCAACCGATTGAAATTTTCCGAGTTACGGTTTTTAAAGAAAATTGCCAGGTTTTTAACTAAATTAAAAATTTCCAAGTCGGCCCGCTATCCACAGTTTTGCAAAAAGTTTCTACATACAAAATATCCGTTTTCTGAAAAAAATTGCGACCTTTAATCTACAAAGAAAACATTGATATCAGTTGTCCTGAAAAATCGCCTCTTTGACCTTAAAACTCTTATGACTTTCAAATTTCCCAACGGATTTCAATTTGGCAAAATATCATTTTTAAACAAAATCACTTCCAAACGAATTTTCAAGGATCCAATTCGGGCCAGTATTAAGAGAGTTGGTTATTTATTTATACTGAACGATCTGATACACCATATGTATAGTTATAATCAAAGCATCATATTCATAACATAACATTCGCGTTGGTGTTTGCCATTATCTAAAACATTTATTTTCTTAAATAGTCTATGAAATTATCATTATCACTCCCCTTGATTGATCTGTTGAAAATTAAATTAAAATGATAAAGGCAAACCGATCCAGAGGTCGGCCCAGCAGAAAACACATACAACAAACACGGACTTTGCCTTGATTTGCTACTCAGTATAGAAATAAAAATTGAGTTCATTTTTCAGCACCTAGAGCGTAATTTTTTTAGTAAACCATTTACCGTAATTGGCACCTACAGAACGTTTCTACAAGTTCATTTAATTACTAATAGCGTTCATTTATCCGTCTTTTGGCAAAAAATTGCAAATGTCATATCATCGTAATTTTAAATTTGAACTGAGACTTACATAATAGGAAATTAGAAAATACATTAACACCTTATATTGTAATAATAACAATTTATTGTAAACTTCATTCGTTCATTCCCATATTAAATAGATAACACTAAAATGAAAGAAACATGTAACATTTTTTATTTAACATAGCTGAAACCTTAACAATTATTTTTACGTTTAATTGGTGTTCTGTCTTTTATTATTACTTAACATGGATGATAGATAAGAGGAATATTAATTACACTTGACAGTAAATTACTTTATCGAAACTAAAGTTACCATGCAACGTAATAATTCCTAAGGAATAGTGTACTACTATTGTTTTGTGACCATTGGAATGTTGTATTAAAATTTCCAGAAATTTGTTAAGAAAATGTATTCCATTTGCAAATATTACCACGAACATTTGTAAATCTTGTGCTAAAATCGCTTGTACATATCTCTCTAATAGGCACTTATTTAATGCAAATTGGTTTTCTGCAATCCTCATGAAACACCTTGTATATGCGGGTAAGATAAAACCACAACCGACCATTCGGTACACAAAACAATAGAGCTACATGAAGAGGGTATTAATAAGTATTTGTTACCTGAAATTCACACTTCAAAAATTGAGGAAGACTTGCTCTCATGAAATAACATTATCAAAAAAATTATTTTATATTAAAAGCTAAAATCGCTATTGGATTTTTTTAGATAGGTTGGTAAAAAAGCCCTGCTCGTATAATATAAACTAGTGGCTCACCAAAAACTTTCCTGGTAACTTAAAACTTCGTTAGTTGAATTTCCATAAGACTTACTTTTTATTTTGCAGTCAACCCTTAAAGAGCGAAAATAGTAAAGCAGTCAATGTTAAACATATAGAAAATACCCAATAATATTAATTCACAAATCGAAAAGAACAAATTTATTCGAATGTTTTTGGGAAACTAAGTTGATTGTCCCATTTTCAGTTTTATTATATCTACACTATGTTTTAATGAGTCTTAAGCGAGGGTTAGATCGTAAGCAATTTTGCTTACGAGTTAGTTGCGTCCAAACTTACGTGATCGAACGGCCACACTTTGGTCTCTCCATTTGATAAAAAAAAAACATTTTAACAAAATTAGGCCGCTTTATTTATGAAGTAAATGTATTGGAATTTAATTTATTGTAGAATGCACCACAGTGGGAAGGAACCGTTTGATTATAAAAGTTAATCAGAACTAGCTGATCTTTTTTATGTGATTTACCATCCGCAAATATATAGATACATAATTTGTTAATTTATGAATGAATGAATGTTTATATAAGTGACTAGCAACTACAATTTTCCGGAGATTGGCGCCCAACTGATAAATATTTACTGTTCTCGTCCACATGAGTGAATTTCCATAATGAAGATAGATATATCTTGTAATGTAGTCAAACTTTTTAAGTTAAGCAAACTGAAGAGGAGTGGAGATGCGATTTAATCACTTATTTAATGTTCTTGATAAATAACGGTTGGCGACTGGGGCAAAAGTATAAGTGAGAAAGGATTTCCCTAATTATATAAGATTAAGTATAACAACTTAAATTTAGTCTGAAAATTCACTATCGTTTCAAATCAATTGAAGTCATATTAACAATTTTAGTTTCACCAAATCAAGCACTGCTAAAGTTACCGATGAAAGGAAGTTAGCTATCTTTTAGTGATGCGGTAAAATAGCTATCAGAAAACAGTACCTACTGCTTCTGTACGGTTTTCTCTGCTCTTTCTGGAAATAAGTTTATTAATTTAAACCAGAAGTTTGATAATGACTGGTTAAATATGTTATCGGTTGAAATGTACACTGCATATATCTAACCTGATAACATAGAGACAGTTGCTTGCATACAGTGAGTTCTTATAGGTACGCTAGAAAAGTTTTTGGCTGCCCAATGAAATTGTTTAACAGTTAATTTCAGATTGTCTGTTCTGCGATTATAGCGTAGCTCTCTATAAACATTTCTACAAACATAGTATCAGTACTAGACCATCTATTTTAATTCAAAAATAATATACAAAATAATATAAACACATTTTATGACCACGATAATTATTAGATTCATATAATTTACAAAAAATAGATAGTCAGGAGGATACGATAAGTTGTAATTTTACTTGCCTACGTTAACGGTCACAACCTTTTTTGTCGGTTAATATTTTTATACACCAAGCTCTGAAAGTGGGCAAATAATTTTTCGTTTAATTACGATAGTTTATTTATTATCGAACGATGTTGATACCAAACTAAAGCCAGTCGAACCCTAAAGCCCTCTCCTGCTATATATACTTCATTCCGAAACTCATTCACACAAGACTTCGGGTTGCAATTTTCGACGAATTAGTAGGCAAATTCTGCAAATCGGTCACACAGATTTAACCCAACAAGTTTCTCGCTATAGCTAAGTAAATGGCCATGTTTTTGTTAGGCAAACGAGACTAAGGGGGAGAAAATAGACAGAAGCTGAGCATTAGCTAATAAAGTTTTTGCTCAATAATCTATTAAAAACGTTGCTGCTTAACTAACCAACTGGTATTCTGCATTTCCAATTGTCGTAATTTCTTGCAAGCATACGTTCTAATATTGCTATAAAAAACCGCAAACATCGGTATTTAAACTGCTGATTCGAAAAAAATTTGATTTTAATGAATCTCAGAATTGATTGCAGATTACATGTTTTTGATTTTCAAACAATTTGTTTTTTATAGGAGTAGGCTTTCGCGAGCTTTACTTGACACTGGCGAGTTTGTCAGGCTTTTATGCTGTCATGGGAAAAAAGGTCTTACGTTAAAAACTCTTAAAAACGTTAAAATTACTCGCCCACAATTGAAGAAAGGAAACAAATATTAAGAGCATTCATAATTGACTGTTTCTTTTCTACCTTTAAAATAATAGTTTAACAGATTTCAAAGTTGTAACAATTTTATATGGCATTATATGTACATACATATAATATCATATAGTGTATAGGCAGAAATACAAAGTTTGTACAAAGCATCTAACCACTAATTTATACATTATGAGAAAGAATTATAATAATAATATTTATACGCCATTGCATTTAATATAAATACCTTGTATTTTGTTGATTTATTTTTTGATCTAGTAATACCGGCAGAGACTTAGGGACCATTTGCAAGGAACAAACTTATTGGTGATTCTACAAAATCACATTCTTAAACTTTTCAAACACTATGATGACAAGTCAGATGAGGCTAAAATTTCCAGAATGTTTGCGTTTCTGATCAAATATTGTAAGCATAGAGTCATGAGTTTTCTGAGGTCAAAACCCTTGTGAGTTTCGGTAGCAACGAAATCCAGTTTTACAATTTAAAAACATTTTCATGAGCTGATTTATTTCAAGTTGCTGCCATAGTTCGCGATTTAAGACATTTAAGAACATTTCTATGATGAATATTGCTATCCGATTTTTGCAATTCTAAATTTAAGATTTGTTATAACTGAACTGAGCTTAAAAATATAAATTCCCAACAGTTTTCTACAGCGTTGTAGCTCTCAATTTACATTTGAAGCTAAATAAGTTCAGTTTCTTGACCGATTTCGAATAATTGCAGGATGGTTGATTTTTCTTGGCAATTCGGTCTCGGCAGTGGTGAAGAGAAATAAAAACTTTTTTAGCTACCAAGCTTTCGGAAATTTATTGTCGCCTTCCTCAGTGTGCTAATTGTTTGAACCATAAGAAGGCCGGGAACCCTCCAGAATATTCCATCATTTTTTGTACAGCTTGATGAAATATTTAATCTTTTAATTACATTGTTTGGTCATAATTTCTTTGTCTTGTATTACACAAAACATATATTCTTGATTAACATATTTTTCTGCAGAAATAACGAGACAGACTACACACAAATTAATGATGAGCTGAAGGCACTGTACAACTAATTGTCATCAATTTCAGTGAAATTGAAATGGAAATTAAATTTTAATGGAAAATTAACAATTAATTGTTATTAGAGCAGTAACCGGGCTGTAGCAAAATTGAAATTATGACATGGGACTTTATATTCAATGAACATATAAGTGAAGAGTTTTTAGTGTCCGAAAATTCTAAATGAACGGGTTCTTTTGCGGCTTAAGCGAACAAATATTTTCTTATTTCAAAAATTATTTGCCCGCTTAAGTCGCAAAAAAACCTCATTCATTTGTCTTCAGTGTCGTGTACAGACCTAAAGGGCCGAGCCTGAGCCGCGGCAAATTTCGTTAATGTTTTGTGAAAACAACGACAGAAATTGGATCGTCTGTCGGTGTTTAGAAAAAGTATCAGGAATTCGCCGCGGCTCAGGCTCGGCTCGTTAGGTCTGGTCGCACGATAAGCATAAAGTCGACCAATCTCTGCCAGTTATGTTGGAAACATTTATGTGAACCTGCTTAGGTTAAAAAATATATTCCAATCGGTAGTTTGATAATACAGCACATGTTAAGAATCTAACTATAAAACGCAAAACCTGCCGTAAATTATTTAAAGCAGTCGTAAACAAACCCTGAATCGGTTTTCCTCTAATATTCCTTTAAAGTGAAATTGAAATCGACGCTTATCATGAAACCAATCTGTTTGCCTCCTATGTTCATAAAACCAGCTAGTTGGTGTCTTTCTTCTGTAAATCTTTTCTATGTTAATATTAGATTTCTAAGCCTTGTTCAAGCTTTCCGTTTAAATTTCGTTATAAGAAAGTGAACAATTTTGATATTATTTTTGACGAATTCGATAATAAATGAACCTAGTTTAGTTTGTGATGCTCTAGGATCTTTCCTGAACCATGGTAATAAGTAGAAAATACGTTTTCAAGTATTTTTTGCTGATATAAATCGAATATCCCGAAACATACTTGATAACCAGTTCTTTGTTTGCGCATTCGGTTCAAATTGAGTATGAGGGTAAGGCAGTAGATGGTACAGAAAGTTTCAAGTGTCCTCAGTGGCGGGTAATTCGCGCTCTTCAGTGTCGAGCTTAAGGCACTCTTCGAAGAAGTTCTGCATTGAGCTATACACGTGTTCTAGGACTCCTGATAACTCGTGGCCTTCGTCAGGGTAGCTCTAAAAATTATGCATAAGACCAAGGCAACTTTAACTTGATTTCTAAATTTTTACCTGATATCGAAATAGTACACCATGTTCGGCTAAAGCTCTTGAGAGCAAAACGCTATGCTGATAAGGAGCAGTAAGATCAGCCATTCCGTGAAGGAGAAAAAAAGATTTCCTTGGTATATTTTTAGCTCTCTGAGTTGCGTCAGCCTGAACGTAGCCTTTATAGTTTTCTGTTGGCAGACCCAAAACCTTCTCCGTAAATGCCGAATCTAAAAACATAAATCACAGAACTTTTCACATTTAATATGAGGATGGAAACAGCATATTAATAATGTTTATGTCATGTTTTTAATACGAACTCAACCTGCATTGTTTTTTAAACTAACTTGAAAAGGCAGGCTGCAAAATGGATGAAGGAATATTTACGTCGTACTTAATATTTTTATGAATTTATTTGGGAAGTTTAGTAAGGATCTTACTATAGTATAACCAGTCCGTTATCGGATTAACAGCAATACCACATTTGAAAACCTTTTGCTGGTTTCCCATGCCCAACACCATTGATGTAACATATCCCCCATAGCCCCAGCCCCAAATGCCTATCCTTGTTTTATCTAAATACTTATGATATTTGTGATCCTTGTTCAGTAGGTAGTCGATCGCGGAAATCTGATCTTGAACCTGAAAATGTCGTTATTTTATCACTGGGTTCAGGACGTTTCTTTCCTCGAAATTGATGTGTTTATTTATTTTTATTAATTTACCTCTATTCCACCAAGTTGCCGATACAGTGCCTTATCTGCTCGCCCTCTCGAACCTCTTACATCTAATTTAATATATACAACATCACAGTGGCTGGACATAAATGTCGCCCAATCTACTACAAATTTTTCTGTGACACTTTTGCTACCTGGTCGCCCATTCCTAAATAAAACGCAACTTTAGCAAAATCAAAAGATAGGTACTGATTTTATTCGCTACAATTAGCGATCTTTCCCATATGCTCCAAGTACCCATCAGTAATCTAGTACCACCCAGAATAAATAAAATGGAGCAAATTTTAAATCAATGTAACAATCGGAATGGAAAATTTCAGAAGTTTACTAGTTTAGTTTAGGGACTAAGTAGGACTAATCACCCACAGGAGGAAAAGACCCCATATTATTTGCTACAAACAAATTGATTATTTTTGGCACACTTGAGATCCTCAATGATAAATTAATTCCAGAGTTAATAGGGAACGATTAGCACGATTGTGAATTCTGGTGCGGCCGAAAATAATGTGAAAATTAAAAAATATAAAAATATTATAATAAGATAATCCTCACACTTCAACAACAACGGGATATGCTGCATCTCTCAGTTCTTCTCTCCAGGATGGAGGCAATAACAACTGCACTTCGGCTAAGCTGCCTTGAGGTAGAGGAACCTTAAAATTACAACGCTCTAGAATTATCTTATACTCTCAACTTAGACCAAATGCTCACCTCGAACGATCTTTTTTTAGGCATAGCCAGATCTTGCAATAGAACACCGTGCCCTATTCTGGTATCGTATAATATTTTGAGAAGCTTATGACTAGTTGAATTATGCATTCCGGCCAACGGAAGACCTGGACCTTCGCATTGTAGTACATAGAATGGGGCGCGGTAATTATCACTTTGTGGGCTAATCTGAAACAATCAGGACTTTAATATTTCCTAAAAATATAATTCAACATATTTCATTTCAATTTGAAAAGATTAATTTCAAGAGAGTTACAGTGTTTTCAAAAAAGTATCATTTCGGAAGTTTGAATATTAAAGTTATTGATTATCCTATAATGGCAGGATTAAAACTATATAAACATAATTTGCAGAATATTACACGTGACATCCTACATTTCACACAGAGAAATCTAGCACATCTCATCAAGTTCCAACATTTATTGTCTCCAAAGTTGCAAAAATGTTCAATTATTAAAATTTATCTGATTATTCTGTTAATTGAAATGCCAAAGTTCGGATACTTATTCTTCGATTACTTCAAGATACGTTGAGAAGTGAATAAAATAACGTGATAGGTCTTTTTCGAATGTTTCTCGAAACATCGTATGCTGTACATAGTTTATCAGCGCAGTTAACTCCAACACGAGCAGGAGCTGCCAACATTGTTTTTTAATTAATATTTAGTGCAGTGTTATTGGCAACTTTTTTGTTGGGCCATATGAACTTGATCTCAAGGAAATAGGCAGTATTTACAATTTAGTCAACTAAATTTGGACGAGTTGCTAGAAGATGTTCCACTTTATTTATGGATAAAAAGTGGTTTATGCAAGATGAAGCCCCACGACATTTCTCGGCTGCTGCCTTGCCTCTTAAATGCAACTTTTTCAAATTCCATTGCGGCAACGAATGCAAGTCGCAGTCAACGAAAGCATAGCAACCCAAAATGTCGCTTCAAACACGAAACTCTCTCATACAACGCTGTGTAAAGTGTATTAGTATCCATTGTGGTCACTTTGAACTATTATAAGTCATTATTAGGAATTTAACATCTTTTAGTATTTAAAATACATCGTTGGTTACATTTTAAATTTAGCGTGTTATCTAATCTAAAATCTAGTGTTCGTTGATTCCGTTTACCCCAAGAACGTACCGAAATATCGATAAAAAACAATAATACATAATTTATGTGAGTATGACTGCTCTTGCAGATTCTAAACTGAATGTGATGTTAAACTTACAGGGTGACAAGTTATGGATTTCCAATTCCATAATATAGCTTTATCGTTTGGGTGCGATTTTTTTCAAATTTAATTTAATCCCATTTCCTTCAATTTTGCCTAAGTAACTTAATTTATGTTTACTTACTATTGCATTAAAATGTGTGCAGTTTCCATATAAAAATCGACTACTCCACAAAACGTCACCCAGTTCGCAAGTTATACAATATGACTCTATACGACGAGGATCATCTGTAGTTGGATCTTGCGATACGTATAAGTGTTGTTGACCAGCCTTATGCGGTTCAGTTGCTAAGTACCATCTGAAATATATGAAAACAAATTCTAAATTTGCAGTCACTAACGCGATTTAAAGGGCATCTTTCATATACAAGGTGATTCTAAATCGGCGTTATTCCTGTTAAGGGTTCACTTGGAGAGTACCAGGAAAATATAGACATTTTTTTCCTTAAATTTCTAGATGCTAAATTTTAATCAGTTGAAAATTTCATTTCAACTTTGTTATTAAGCATTATTTTGAAATATTTGAAATGTGTGTCTCATGTTTGATTGGTAGCCTATTGGAATATTTAGGAGGCCGAAAAGCAAAATTACGATCTTTAAAAATTCACAGCTGCAACGATATTGTCTGTCATTGTCAGGTAGTTACAGGTAGATCGAGATTGTCAAGAATAACAAGCATTTGTCAAATTGTGACTCAGCTTAAAGCTTCTTTCGCATACATTCACATGCAGATTACCTGGAATAACTATTGCCTTGATCTTCTGATTTACTTTTTTGTCAATATCTCTAAAAAGATATTTAAGCAAGAAATAAAAACATTACATTTTTTGAAAAGAATTAATTTTTTATTGAACTCTCCTGTACTCCCTAAACACCCCCAGAGAAATGACACCAATTTTGAATTACCCTCTAAGATCATTGCTTTTACTTTATTGATGGATTCAAACCAAACAGCGAATATATTACAAACAGGTCTGTGGAATTGCAGTAAATGTGTTTCACGGATCTCAATTGTTTATTGTAAATATTTAAAATTAACACAAGATAATTGTGCTAACAGCACATATTCATTGCATAAATTGCGTACAATTTGTTTAGTTAGTAGTAGTAGTAGTAGTAGTACAAAGTAGTTTAACATGAACGTTCAAGAAGTTTAATTAGGGTTCTATTTAGTTAAAAGGTTGCAAAAGCTGATTAGAATTAAACAAAACAGAAGAAATCACAATCAGATGTAAAAAAATAAGTGTCAACCCTTACTAGTTAAGGGAGTTACAATTTAGCATCCGCAGGACGTTTGGACTTTTGAACTCACGAATTGAATAATAAAGGTATCATATACCTAAATCTTCTGGTTTTCATAAAAATAGCATAGTTTATGCCACAAAACGCCATAATATACAAGATGTTCTATTTAATAAGGTATATCTAGAAATTGGGGCAGCCTGAAAAAAAATACTTAAAAATTAAATAGTTTAGCCGCAATATTCCGTGTCATATAATCGGAATATAATGTCGATTAACTCTGTATATTTTATAGTATATACAATTTTTATTTGTCAATGAGTCACTGCTAAATTAGAAAACATACTTAAACATTTGCATAGGGGCTATGGTCATTAATCACGTTTTATTAACGGCTGAATTGTAAGTGTCGCATATGCAGATTACGGGGTGTTGACTAGAAATTTGCTCCCGTTATAGACAAATATCGTTCGTTCCTGCACAAATTTACACCTTTTCACAGCAAGAAACCCGTTACCTACATAGGTGATGTTCCTCAGATTCTAACGGCATCGTCAGAGGGACAATTGTACAGCTTATTAAATGCTGAAACTAAATCATAGGAGTGGCTGGTAGCACTGAAAAGGTTCTATCGAAGACCGATTTAATTACACTTGTTTAGAGGCGATCTGCATTTTCCAATACTTAGGTGTGTTTCGCGACTCAACTCTGACGGGTTATTACATTGCTTACTTTCTAGGTACTTTTGATAGATAAGCGTTCTCCGGTGATAGAAAAGAAGTTTTTCAAAAAGTAATAAACTATTATTGTTATTATTGTTAAGATTCAACTAAATTACCAGAATATCCAAAATAGACAAGTTTCTGTGAGTTTCGTTCTCAAAATGAGTCTTGTAAACTGCTTATTGATATCTCAGATGTAACCCAAGGAATATTCTAGTAAGAATAAGTTCTTTCTATTCTAGTAAGAGTAAGTAGGTAGTAATAACCACATTAGAGGAAACGAGAAAAGCTGTAGTAGAATAATGCTTGGAAAGAAGTTATGCTGTGTGTGTGAAACAAATCGAACGGAATTATGGTTTGCAGCTTACGTAATTGCAAACTCTCAAATACAGCAACATCAAAATGCTCTGAATAATAAGCGGGTAGACAAATATGAGTGCATTGATGTTACGTAAATATGGAAGGCTACTTCTACTAAGTTATTTTACTGAGAAATTCACATCTCACAACAGAACAAAAAGTGGAAATAATCGTTTCATATTCAACAGGATCGGGCGCCCTGTAATATTGATAATGCAGTAAAAAAGTAATTTGATGATTATAATTTAAGCTGACTAGCTCCGATTTTCATATAAAGGAACTGTGTGGGTTTAGATAAAGTGGCCTGCATTAATAAGGAAACAGGCAAAACTCATGATATTAACTATATCACAAACATGCATTTAAGTGATGATTTTATATAAGAATCACATTATATCATTCTCTCTCTTAATTTTTTATTAATTGTGAAATAACCGAGGTTTACTTTCTTAACAATTATTTTTTTTACCTGACGCGAGGTGCATTAGCTATACTATCATCTTCGGAGGAAGACTAAAACATTTCTAATGTTCTTCCGAAGTTGGGAGCATATCTATAGAAACCCTTTTCTCAACGGTTCCAAACCTAAAAAAATAGTGGTTTTTCATTATTGTTAACATTTTACAGCGAATTAGGCGCTCTTTTATTACATATACACTTCCGGAAATCGGCGCATTTAATGATCAACAAATGTTATTGATTTTGCACGACGTTATTTCGTCTCTATTGCATCTATACGGGGTGTCATTTTGATAACCTCTCACCCTTAACATCTTTCTAGCAGTTAAAAATATGAATTGAAAATGAAACGAAAACTGATCCAACCATGAGTAATAATCATTATCTCTTCTCTTCTATGGTTTTACCGTACAAGTTAAATATCAAACTTAATGGATAACACATCCAATTAACCATGTTAATCTATACATACTGCATAGAGATGATATTGATAATATATTACTTACATTAAATGACTTGTAGTATCCCACGCTAAAATTTTGCTAACTTCATGAGGTCCATGACTGAGAACGGCTATATGTTGCTGAGTCACCGTAATATGTTTAATGTGTGTGTACGTTTCCCGTCTTCCTTCTTGCACATGGGCCAACATCAAAAAGCTATCACCATCAGGTGAAAAAATTGGATGTTCTTGCACTTCCAGCCATGCTCGCTCTAACGATCGTTCCGTGTGACTCTAAAAATAAAACAACCATTCAAGTGCTAATATGATAAAAATAATTTCCGATTCTGCATTCAATTACTTAAAAAATTAAGTTGGTATAACGCCAAAGAAATTCGATTTATTCGTATATTGCAAACATAATATATTCTTATTATAGACCAATTCTCATTTATTTTTCTTGTAAGTATTCGTCTTTTAAATTTAGACAAAGACGTTAAATATAAAATAAAAAATCGACAGATAGAGAATCACTCAAATTAAGGTAGCAAATCTTAGTTAAATATGTCTAATCAGATTGTTCTACTTTTTATACAGGATTACTCAAATTTAAGACCAAGTCAATTAATCTTAAATTAAAGACATATTTTCCATATCCAATATTCAATTGCTTTTGGATTTCTAACTATTATTGTTAAAACGTTGGCTAACCTCCTCTCATCAGGAATTATGTCATGAGTATTATTAAGTTTTGACTAAAATGTTAAATACAAAAAATGTTTTACTTTTTAAGTAAAAAATCACAGGTTTATCCATTACAAAAACATTGACTTTCTTTTAGTTCAGACTCACTATATTCGTAGAAGAGCTCAACAACTCCATTTAACTCTATTACTCAAATCGGCCAAATCATGCGCGTCAAACAAATTTTAGCAAACAGAATCAGAAGCAATAAATTTTCTGGATTTTAAAGAAGTCGCAAGACCTTAGAAATTGAAGATTAGGGTAGTTTGGACAAGGGCCCAGAAACAATATCCTAATTTCAACAACTTGAAGAATACCCTAATTTCATTCTTATGATCTCCTAAGCGTTCGAGCACTCAGTCCAAGTAATTTGCTACCATGTGCCATTTTCTTTCGCTAATTCGTGCAACGTTGTGCTGAATGTCCACGATTTCTTGATTTTTCTGGGGTTTATGTTGGAGAATAATTTGCCTCCACTCCCGTCGTGTTTTAGTGGAATTCAGATTTATCTAGGGCATTATTGCTTTAAATAAAATAAGGAATTACTGATCAAAAATTATTTTTTCCGATCACCTTCGCACCACTCTTTTTGCATCACAATTCTCTTTACACCCCTATTTGAAATGGTCCTGTATATGCTGTTGCTACTCGCTAGGTTATTCGGCCTTCCGACTTCCCCATTTCAGAATAAATCAGTCAAATTTCATTTTTTTGATGATGATTCAATTGGACCAAAGGGTCTTCTATTTTGCCTTGCTGCTGCCATTTTCTTCAATTTGATACGAGAAGACTTGCCCGAATGAGATTTTAATTGGCTAGCCGCTCTTTGATATCATCAATTCGGCAAAAAATGGATTCAAACATGAAAACTAATTGCACGACTACCACGCACTCCCGACCTGACTCTCCTCGACTTTTTGCTATGTGGTCGTATAGAGAATCTTGTTCCATTCTATACCTTATCCGTCTTAAAGGTGATTATTATTGATGCTGGGTCAAATAGTAAGAATTTTTATAACGAGCAGATTGTTGTCGCGACAAGTGTGCGACTCGATCCAGTTTTTCGACACGCGACCTGTTGCGACCCCACACGCAATACTGTGATGAGAACGTGTATATAAGGACTCCCTTCAGCAATTTTCAGGAAAACTGTTATTCCGTCTTCGACGGACATTGACCGACTGCTTCATATTTATAAGCTCTTATAACTTTTTTGTACTCCGGGCCATTATGTAAAATAATTAATGAAATCTTTACGAATTAATTGTTTTACTTATCCTGCGGACATCAACATCAACACGAACTACCAGCAGTTGCCGGTACCAATTCGTTCTCACCTTGCGCCACTGCCTTGCTTTGATGCACAAATTTAATTGTCAAAAAAATCTTCTAACTAATACACAGGTATCTTGACTACCAAATCCGTTGCTTCATTTGGAACATGCATCCACAGCATATGATTTTAAGCGTATACTTATTTACGGACTAAATCCGTCGTCAGCAAAGGTCTCCACATATATCTGAACGTTTTTGCCATTGCGTTTCGAGAGTAAGAAGATCGCATCACCGATCGACTGCATCATTTTTACATTTTTCCATACCCACATTCGGGTAAAACGCGTGGTTGGTACAGGTCCTGATGTATTTGAAGGTATTCTGCAATTCCGTTTCCGGAAATCCGCAACTTATCGTTTACATTATATAAGCAATGGCTCTTATAAAACCCTCTGAGCTTCTCATTATTACTTCTTAGACTGGAAGTTACAACTTAAGAACGGAAATGCGCAATCTCGAACCTAAAGCTGCTGCCTACCTTGGTCGATACTTTTTCTACCGAAATCAGTTAAAATCATTGATATAAGTGTTTATGACTTAGGATTTAAATTTCACGTGAAACAAGGTACAGTTGTCAGTGATAGAGTTTTTACTGCGAACTGTATAAAGAACCAACACAAAATGATAACCGAGCCTTGTGAGAGGTAATGAACTACGGTTCTGAAGAAATTCCGGACGTAACAACACAGGCCCTGCAATAAGCAGAGGTAATAAATAAGGTAACAAAACTATTTGAATCCTAAGGTTTGGAAAATGTTTGAAAAAAGCTTATCGGTTAATCAACTCTCTAACTTGATAAACCTTTCCTCTGCCCACATATTACTGTCTGGACCGAAATCATATCTATATGGTAACAGGTAGAGGAAACCCAACAAACGGAAACAACTGCTTGGTGAAGACGCCGACGAAAGGTCTCCTCACAATTTATTCCAAAGCACGAGAAGTGGAAAAAGTAGCTGATTTCTTCAGATTTCAGTGGCAATGGAGTAGGCTTGGGTACTCAGTGAATTTTTAGGAGTTGGCGCAATGTTGCGCAAATGGCGCAGTAACTCAATTCCGTTGCTGATAAAATGTTGATGACCTTTATTTAGTTGTTTTTAGATTATTGGTGATAAAATACTGACGATCTTAAGGTATTTTCTGCGAAAAATTTAAAAATTAATTTTATTAAAATACTCGCTTCCTTCGACGCTTTGTAAAAAGTTTTGAAAGTCTCTTGCAGCTTCGAATTTGGTCCCAAAATTGTAGCAATTTTTTTTCATCAAAAAACGAACAAAATAAGCGAAAGTTTATAATGAATCATTAGAAAGGCTCGTAACCCCCATCCTACTGATGACTGTAGAATTTGTTAAAAAATCTGTGGTTGTTCAGTTTTGACTGAATATTTTTCTTCTTTTTTCTATTCAGGAACGTTCTATTTTGAAGAGTTTTACTTAAAATTCGGGAGAAAAACTAAAATATATTTCTCCTGGTTTTTTCCCGTAAATCATTATGGTTTTCTCAAAAAACTATTTCAAAACTAAAGGTTTTTAATTAAAAAAGCAAAAATTTGATACTTTTTTTTCCTACAATCATGGGGTCTTTTTAGCCAAAAATGACAAAATTAATTTTGTTAGTAAATTCGTCTCATTCATCGCTTTGCAGGGACTTTTAGAAAACCCTTTTCAGCTTCGCATTTTGCACAAAAACCAGATAATTTTATTAACTTTTTTACCGAAAGCTTTGGGAACATTTTTCTCGATCCGTAATATGTTTTCTAGATTTTTTCCCAAAAATATTTCCCCGAACAGAACAAGCAAAAGTTTATAATCAATTACTTGATTTTTTAGAAGTCCGGTTTCTCCACTTTTAGGTCAATAGTTAGTTCTAAAAAAAACTCTCTCTAAACACTTTTTATTGTAAACTTCTGGCAAACTGAGAGTCTGTTAAGCAAAAAATTTAAGTGATCGATTTTACAAAAAAACTCGCGGTCTTTATAGTTTGATCTTCTTTATCGTCTTTTTCGAAATCCCGTTTTAGACTCAATTATTGATTTCTGATTTCTCAAAACAGTGGAACAAGCGAAAGTTGCTGCAATGTTAATCGTCGCCATACATTTGTACGAACACCAGCAAGCATTAAGACAGCGTTCTCCTTATATTAAGGTGCTCGATGGTGAGTTTACTCAGCTTGCGCAGCTGGCGAAGAAGAATCATCGCAACCAAAAAGTGACGTGCAGAATCTGAATTATTATTAGCTGAAACTGGCTAGAAAATAATCGCTTAATTTTTGAAAGTATTATTAACTAATAGCAATAATTAAATTTTAATTGAAATAATCGTTATTATTATTGTGAAGTTAGAAACATTGAGCTATGTGCATAAATTCAGGTTTAAGAGCTAAAATTTAATGCTAATTTTAGAAGGGGGATTTCATAGGTAATTACGTCAAGATAACATCAACTGACCTACATTCAGGTTCTCTAATCATCTGACCTTAATACCCTTAAGTACGAAATAAAGCAGCTGCACAATAAATCACGAGGGTTAGGTTGAGGAAACGGCATGTATCGGAAATTACGTAAAGTAAGGAAAATTCTTAGTTTAACGATCAACAATGTTGAACATACTTAAGATAATGATTTCCAAATTTACAGTCGAGTATAAGCAAAAGTATAAGCAAAAGCAATTCTTCTGTATAACAACAGAATATATTTGAATATCAAATTTAATGTGCGGCAATCTAAAACACTCCGGCTTTGGCGCCTTTATGTGAAAAATTTGCTTTTTTAAAGCCTGAATCCATTTAATATTGATTTGTTTGTACAGAATAACATTTTTAGTATTTTTTCAAAATATATGCCGTTTTTTAACAAGAACATGTCATTTGATATGTCCTTGAATTACACACACACGATTAAAAAATGATGTTACTTGATCATATGCTTCATGCTTTATACGCATATCCTTGGCTCACATACACACTTTAATACAAAAAGCTTTTTTTTATTGTATTTGAATATTTCTTAAAACCGATAGTCAGCATTGTAACTAATGCAAGGGTAATTAACTGCTACATTTGGAAGTATTTTAGTTTAATGGCTTGGTGTCATAATTGCCACTTACCTCAATGCATGTCCAGTTTGGCGCTAGACAGGCAGATACGATGCTCAAATTCTGAGCTCGATTAATCCAAACCACAGACACTTCCGTGTTCTTCTGTCCAATCCAACCAGCTGACGTCATGTAGTAATCTCTGCAAATGTGATTGAATTGATAACATCACTTAAGATATGAAAACCGATCAATATTAAAGCATACATGCATTTTTTATTTTGTCTAACTGGAAGCAGAAGAAAGTTAAACTGAAACCGTTACAGTTAAATATAAAGCAAATGCCCTGATAATTCGTCTATTGTGATTAAAAATGTTCAGCGCTTAAATGTATACATTATACATATCTAAACATCAACTGTAGGGTAATATTTAATGAGGATGTTGTTTGAAGTATTTAGGGGACACAGAAAACATACTAAAAAAATCAATTTTGAGGTCGTTGGTAATAGTGTTTTTGAATCGCGTCTGAAAATGTAGTAAGTAGGTACTACTTATTATTAATACTATTGCTTTATTTAACAACAAAGCCTCTGTCGAAACGGAATTGTGATAGATACTATTAAGAAGGGTGGTCAAGTGTCTCCTGGAAGGGACGACCCCCTCACACTGGAAAATAGCCATTATTATCATTTTACATAAAAAAAGGTGACAACACAGATCTTGCAAATTACAGAGCGATAAGTCTTCTTAGCCATATATACAAGATATATACAAAAACCCAAACTAACCGTCTAGCTGGAAAACTAGAGTTCTAAATAAAAATAATTGTTGTACCTTGGTGAAATTGAAGTTATTAATAATTTTTGTACTGCAAAATCTTATTGTTGTGTATAAAAATGCAATGAAATTGGAAATTACTTACTGTCCCTCTAAGGCATTTGGCGGCATAACTTGATAATTCTCCAGATTCGTTAGATTTGATATATCCAATACCCAAAGTTGCACTTGTGGAATGGGAGTGCCAGGCTAAATACAATTAAACTGTTGATACTAGTTAGCCGATAACATGCAATTGGTACATACGGTAGGATATCTAATAGATTTAGATCCAGGAAATAACATCGGTCTGTTAGAAGCTTTTCCACCTGCTAATACGGCTTCCGTCTGGAACCATGGAAAATTTAGAATTCCAACTTCCGTGTCATTAAAAGTGGCATAAAGGAGATGTGTTCCATCATAAGAAGGCCATAAAGCTTCTTGACTTTGGAGCACGTCTTCTGCAATTTCAGCAAATTAAAGTATTAAAGTACGTACAAGTATAACAGAGTCTTTTCAGTACAAAAATGTGTATTTGTGGCTTAGGTGCAACAATCATACTCTATTGTTGCAATAGACATAGAATAGTACTTAGGAATAGCGACAATAACCGCACAGGAATTGTTAGTACTGTACTTGTACCAATCAACAAGAACATTGAAAACTTACAATTTTAACACAGAACTATTTGATAACTAAAGGTGTTGTCAAAAAGTACAGACTATCTGGTGTTTGGTATTGCGTATCATATTGTCATATACTTTTACAAAACCATAATATCTTGTAAATTTGGCAATTAAGACTTTGTAGAATTGTTTATATCTGACTGCGATTTATGCCTCCTATAACAGAAGGATACGAGAATTGTGCAATGCAAGCAACTAAATATCTAGAGTACCAATAGCTGAATTTACAAATTAAGAGTTTACCTAAAATTTCTTCTAGGAACAGCCCTTAAGAGTTTATCAAATTTCCAATTATTTACTTCAATTAATTTTTAAATCTTGTTTCAGTTTTTCAAACGTCATATTTTAACGTCATGTACTGTCTAAGGTTGTTATTCGTGCATTGTGAAATGATATTCTGAACTATCCTTGAGTTTAGAGAAAAATTTAAATGAGTGGAGCGCCTTCATTGATGATTTGGTAGCTCCTAATTGAACGATTCATGTTTTCAATTTGGAATAGATCTTTATTGTTTGTTCAAGTGTAGTAATGGTTCTTTGAGGACTAAGAATGGGTAGAAAATGGAGGATGGGGCGCCAGCTTGAAGAAAGCTGGTAAACATGATTTTAAGTTCACTTTTTCGAGAAGCAACTAAGCAGAGTTGAATGATTTTTTATTTCTCTTTATTTCTTTTGTCCATTTAAAATAATTAAACTTTTCACTGAGTGTCTGTAATACTAAAGAAATTTTTTCTTTCTTTCCAGGTGGCACAATGCAGCTTTCGGTAAGTTTGGCATTAGTTAGCCTCTGGTTGGCATGTAGATGTAGAGCTTTTACTCCCATATTATTGACTTGAATTTTATCATATTGCTGCTTGACATATTTATTCGACAAGGAACGACTAGGGCCGTACTGGATCCTTAATTCTGTCTTGAAATTTTTAGAAATTTCTTTTAATTTTTGAAAGTTCGAATTTAGAGATGATTTTCAGACATTTATCTGCAATAATTAAATATTAATTTATTTATCATGTACACACAAAGACACTTTACTACAATTTAAAACAAAACAAAACTACAATTTAAAAAAAGAGCCGTTGTAGGCAAAAAATTGTATTCTTCCAAAAATTCAAAATTTTATGACCGAGAATAATTTGCCTGAAAACTCGCCTATTCGGCATTAAAGTCTTCATAAATGTCAACTTTTCCAACTAATATTAATTTCTTAAAGATTTTTTTTTGGTTGCCCACTCTATGAGTTCGAACTGGTTTTACTACTCTGCTGTTTCTGGTGTCCAATTTGAAGCTGGAATGGTTTACATCGCAAGCCCTTTTGCGGGTTTTAAAGCTTTTGAAATATCTTGGCATTTAACGAAGTTACCGGCGTTAAGAGCGGAGGCATATTTAATGTAAAAACGTCTTTAAATAATTGCTCTTTTTCCCTGTATTGAAAAAAATTCTGAATCACTCCATGTTAAATTCGAAAATCGCATGAGGTGCCAGGTCTGAACCTGATACCTTACCTTGATATAACCAATCGGGAACTCCATTGAAAACTACGTCGGGTTGTCCCGTAAATGTAAGCCTAGTGTTCGTCTCATCCTCAGGAGAATGCCTGTAGTAGATGTCGTTATTGAAGATAATTAGAAGAGATGTAGTATCTCTCAACCAGCTGACGTATTGCAATCGTTCCGGTTGAGCTTTTGGAGAAGATTCGAACCGAACAGGTATATGATGGCTAAAATGCAAACATATTCATGTGAATATTGAATACACTTAGTAGTAGGACTGGCTATAAATAAAAGTGATTAATAATTCATTCAAGTATCAGGAAACTGTTCATCTTTTTCGTGTCTAAATGCAAACTTAATTAACCCACTTTCAAACTAGCGAAACAAAGCGAATTGATTAGTCGTCTATTCTAGTTATTTATGATTAGGGTAGATTTTAACTAAATGCATTTTACATTGCAATGATTATCTGCACGAAATTAACGGCGGCGGATGTTATGTCGCATGCCAACGAAGTTCTTTCCATAGAAGCTCGGCAGTTAACCTAGATGTTTTACCATTTGTTTTATTCGCGATTCGAATAATTTAAATACACAGGACGTTTTGAGTGTCAGTAATTAATATTTTTCAGTTCATGTACCTATGCGCTATTATAGCTTACTATTATAAAAATTCACTAGGATTTATTTTATCTGCGAAAATTGGCAAACTTAATAATTGGGATTTCACAGCAATAATTTTTGGATTTATAAATTCCATTGATCGAATTTGATCTCACAATCTTCCTATGCTTATACTTCAGTACTTCAATTATTATTGGCAAACTGTTGCTATAACATACTAATAACTCGCGGCGAAAGTTGTTCCTTAAACGTTCTCATATTTTTAATTTATAAAATTATGTCATTATTTTATGGAAAAGCACACGAGAAGCGCTGCAGTCATGCTTTTAGGTATACGTTTGTTGGCAAAATTCAGTCCTCAACATGTATATTAAGTAAGTTTGGAAGACTTTTGAATTGGAATGCTTAAACCATATAAAAATATCTAAAATGCATCAAGCTTGTCTTTTCTTGAACATATTTTAATTACGTCTAATCTTCAATATAGTAGACTCGCAAAGCCAATGTGTTGTTTGTTAAAAACAGATTCATTTTTTTTGAGAGAGTAAAAACAATTCCAAAAAAGAAAATGAAAGAGTGGAAAGCCCTTATTCAACTGGTGAATGCCTTCCTTTTTAACCTTAGAGTGTGCAGCATTATAATGTTGTTAAGTGAAATAAAGTGAAGTTGAGAACTCTTGCAATCAATTATTAATTTCCCTGACAAAACTCATTAACTGAAATACCGACTTATTGAAATACAAATATTTATATAATTGTTGTGGAAACTCAATTGGAACTCTAAATTTCCAATTCTTGAATGTTTATTAACCGTGACAAATTTTTAGTTCTTCACCTCTTGCCTTAATTAGCTTACGTATAAAACAACACATATTTATGAATTATTAAAAGAAAACATAATATGCAGGTTCAATTAAAATACAAATTAGTCAAATTTATGATTCAGTTTCTTGGAAAATTCTCACAACTAACAAAACATCAAGCGGAATGATGCCAACTTTAGGTCCTCTTCTGTGTTTCCAGACAAAACCACACTAGAGGAACATTTCGGCTTGAGCAAAAAGCTTTCAAGCATGTCTTACGTACATAAATGCAATAAGTTTACAATACATTGCATTTGTATACTACTACGGAAGCTGATGTCCGTCTCAAAGTTTGGCTTTAGCGCCCGTTGCGTAGAACTTGGAACATTTGGGGTTTTTAGCCTGTCATGGAAAATAATTTCTTGCTGACCTTTCGCAAGCACAAGTGGCTTTTATGAACGGTTTCACTGAGCGATTTCTCGATTTTAGTCCTTATTTATACAGAGATTGTGAAGAAGGCTGTCGATCACAGAAAGATTGAGGGCGAAGAATCCTGCGAATTATCTGAGAATTAATGCTTCTATCACAAACGAAATTAAAAATCCCCAACGACTGTCTGAAATAATGCAAGCTCGAATCCTCATACACTTCGGACGCTTACAGAGAAGGAATGCTGATAAATTGAAATTATTAATTACGGAAGGCAAGTAGAGGGTTCCAGACTCAAAATTGGAAAAAGGAAATTAAATCATCAATCAAATCAAAGGCACATTAGGCCAATAAAGTAAGAAAATCCCCTCAGATAATCGTAAATCAAACTCCATGCGGCGGCGGTCTCACAGAATCAACGGTATTCACAGCTTATGCAATTTCCGTAGAACGATCACTAGTGATCCACGATCGTCCACGGCTAACCACCGATTTTAAATTTAACACGCATTCTAAGTAAAGTGGATCATTGCTGTGAGACCGCAGCCCTCAGCGCCCACAAACGAGGAAAACGACAAAGTGTGACGTGAGTGGTTTGCCGTCATCATTCACATTTTTGTGCCCCTTGAAAGCTCAGTTCATCTGATGAGAAGTAATACCTTGGAAACCAGTCTTCGGAGACAATGTTCCAGAAACCTAAACTTGAACCTAACTGATGCTGTTTAAAACATCCATAGTTTCTAAAAATATTTGACATTTTTCCGCATTGTTCAGTTTAAACATATATTATGAAAATTTGTTTCCATTGTTGTATTTGCGGCATGAAATTTCTAAGACCTGAATGAATTTCTGGGCAAGTCCAAATTTGGTTTAAAAAAACAAATGAATAAAAAACCGTCAACAAATCCATCTTAAAAGTACCGTAGTTTCAAATGGCACGAGGTTCTTTTTCCAGTTATGGTTACATACTGAAGACGATCTTTTTTGAGGTAATTTATTTTCTATGCGACAGACAATGTGAGTCCTACAAATTTCATGCGAGAAATATAAAAGTAAAAACAAATTTGCATAATACAGGTTGATTCGTTAAGAGTGGGAAATCCGGAAAATATCACACGTCAAATCAGACCATTGGCGAGAAGATGCCATGTCGGTAAGGTGATATTTTAGGAAATTCAATATTATGGCATAAAATTATTTCCAAAAATCAACATTTGTTATATAATGTAGCATTGATTATTCAAAGCCTTGAGCACTAATGGTACATTTACTCGAGGAAAATATGTATAAATGTACTAAAGTGACCACATTTCTTAAAAGACAAAGGTCGATCAAATTTAAATAAAAGCCTTAAGTATAAGTTTTATTTACTTACTCTTTATTAACATCGTAGATAGTATAGTGTGCTGTACAGGATTGTCTGAAAACCTGCAACATAAAAATATTTGAATGAACTCCAGAACTCAGTATACATTATCAGAAGTTTTATTCAGCTTTCTTCTTCATCTAAATAAGCGTGCTTGCGTAACGTCAAGGAGAAATTCGAATTCCTGACCTCCGATAAACCACAGAACTTCCCAATTTCAGCATACACTTTCATATGACAAATCTCATTAATTTATTTTCAAAAGGGTTTATACAGGGTGATTCAAAATTGGTGTCATTCGTCAGGGGGCGTTATCTGTAGGCATCTAAGGACAACAGGAAAAATAATTTTAAAAAATTGCTATTCTCAAAAACTGAGGAATTTGCAAAAAACTACGTGAGATCAGCAATAATGCTTCTTAAGGTAAAAAAGCTACTTTTTAAGTATCAAAAGCTTAAGTACCTAACCACACACAAACGCAGAAAGTGACAATGAAATAGGTGATAAGATAGCCGGTAAATTTAACGAATTTCAAAATTTTACGAATCTCATTACCCATAATCCAATTTGTACCAGTGTTCGGTAGACCTGAGTGTGCTAGTCTCCTGGGGATTTTAGATACATTTTACGACAGAAGCTTCAAAGTAAGTCACAATTTTACAAATGCTTGTTATTCTTGACAAAAACTATATACCTGATGGTGAGAAAATAACATCATTTTCCTTTTGAGTTTTTATACGAAATCTGTAGAAGAGAACTTGCAGTATCATGTTCATAATTTGAAGCAAATATTGTTATTTTTCTTTTTGAATGCTTAAGTATTTCAATAGCCTACCAATAAAACATGGAACTATCTCAAAATAATGCTTAAAAACATAGTTGAAATTGGATTTTCAACTATTAATACCTTCTAGAAATTTTCGAAAAAAATGTTTTAAATATTTTTCTGGTACTCTCCAAGTGCTCTCCTATTAGCTCTTAAAAGGAATGACGCCAATTTTAAATCAACCTGTATAGATCGAATATCTTCCAATTGAGACACTCGAATAGATCAGGAATGACGTAAAGGGCAAATGAATTAACTGTTATACTGTGCAAAGGGCATATGATATTTTCGGATTTGTACGATCTTGATACTCTTTCCACGCTTGAAATAAATTACCTCTTATCACGCGAACGGCCTTTAATAAACACTTGCTTTGAGATTCGTTTATTTCATGCCTCAATTATTTCTACAATTTGATAAGTAAGGTTTCCAACATATATTACCTGCGTCACAATCTTCTCTGTTTTCATAGACATGATGTTGAAATAGTGATCTATTATAATGGCTCGTAAAGTAAAATAATAGTGAAGAAAATCTGCTTGCACGTTTTGCCCAAAACGCTTGGAAAAAATAGGGTTTATCGAGAATGATAACTCAAAATTAGTATGAATTTATCGGGGCTGTTATTTGGAATCTTTACATAAAAAAATTATGAATTACATATGATCAATAATTAAGATATGACATTTTATACAGGAATATTTAAACTTTTTATAAAGTAAAGGAGATTGTAGGCGATACAATCCAATGATTTCTTAAAGGACACATGCATTTATGTTTTTATATCACTTCTTGATAGAACAACTATTTGCATCTGATTTTTTTTAACTTGTAACTTTATCAAAATGTTTTCGGTTTTTGCTTAAAATTAAATTTGAAAATCGAGAGTCGAGTCGAATAATAAAATATGTCAAAAATAGATTTCGCTTCTCGCCGAAAAACTACAAACGGCTGTCTGTTTTAAAGTATATTTTCTAGTCCTGTGAAACACAGGTGGATAAATTACTTTCCGTTCCGAACTAAATAAACAAGAAAAACTGAAGATCAATGTTTTCAAAGCTGTCTTTCATTTTTATTGAAAATTGTTTAAACATTCGTCATTCGTATTGCTTGATGCAAGTAATTTTGTTCTTCTCTATAAAATAGCAATAACATTTTTACGAGAACAGTTGATAACAAGGCTTGTAAATTACTTAAACCTGCAAAAGTGAAGATAAATTCGCAGAATATAACCAATTAATTGGAAAACGCAATCACTTTCTTCAGTTTCGTTATTAATTTGCCTGAATTATTTTTTCTGATCATCATAAATAGCTACTAAAAAGTACCTCATAACTACTTAAGAATTTTCAGTTAAAAAGAAAACGTGATTGATTCAGAAAAAATTACAATAGGACTTACCGTTTTTACATTATGTTGAAATAGAACATATTTAAAGTTTTTTGAACACTGGTACCCCCTAACATTTAATTGCCTCTGAAAAGAAGAAAAAAAATTATCAGTTATAGTGGATATAGATAGTACATATGTAAAATGTATACAATATTTTAAATTTCATATATTATAGAGTTTCTTGTATGATCGTATATTGGTATTAAAAAAGTGATAATTTTCGTAAACTTTTTTATTTGTATCTTGTTACTCGAATATCCTTTCCACACATACGCATATACAGTGAGCGGAAAAACGAGTGAGCCATTTTTGAAGACTAATAATTGACGTTGGAAATATTTTATTCAAAATGCAAATAATATAAAACTGATTAGGACCGAGCCGAGAGGATTATTTCGTACCATCTTGAATGCAATAAATTATTTCCGTTTTAACAACGTAATAAATTGGATATCAAACTTTGAAGCGTGGCAACAGGAACAGCGTTTATTTATTTACCTATTATTATTTTGAAATCGTCTTATTATATTATCACGTTCCTCTTGTTCAAAAAGTGTTTGTTTATTTACTGAAAAAATGTGGAAAAATTATAGAGACTCTGACTAGACCTGGAGTTAGATGTGAACTTTTATAGCACGTAAAGCGATTATAAGTTTTCTGCCAAACGGTTGCAAACCCACACTCTCCCGCTTATGTTCACAAACGCAAACAGTGTCATATCTTCCCATTAACTAGACAAAAATCTGTTGACCATTTGGGCTTCAAATTGACGATTTTGCTTCCGAGTAGGAATTTCTCAATCATATACCGATGCGACCTGAAACCTTTAGCTGTGCTTTTTCAAATTAAATGCAAGATGCATTGATTAAAATCATTTAAAACATTTTTCCGAGTATTTTTAATTTTACCTGGGATTTATTATTTTAGTAATATTTCAAATTAGTCAATATTTCAAGGCGACTTTAAATTAGTGTCTTTCTCTGGAGGTGTCTGAGGATAATTAGAGGCTGCAGAATAATTGTAGAACAGTCTGCCATGAAATATTTACTACACTGGAATTTTTACAACAAAAGTCGAACTATATTCTTCTCATTAGGATCACGTACTATCACCCTACTATCACTACACATTTATTTCTCTCAACACGCAGCAGAGAAATTCAGTGCCTCAAAATCACTTGAAAAGAATGTTTCACAATCTAGTTTTCCAATGGCATTTTCAAAGTGATGATTTAAACAAATTGATCTGTATTTCAATGAATTTTCTGATTACATGCATTATACCGAAAAGTAGTAACAACTACTTTTCTACTACAAAATCTTCCTTAGTATTACGATATCTTAAAGATCTCAATTTTTTTTATTAATTAACTAAACACGTTGTCGTTAATATTTTTGTTTAGCGCTCTAAGTGAGCCTCAGTAACAACTTAACAGAATTGACGGAAGTTTTGCGACCCCACGCATAAAAATTAAATATTTGCTGATTTTTATTGCTTCCTAATTTTGGCATCAGGTTTTTCTTTATTTACATCATTTATCAAATTTACATTTCTGCATCGATCAAGCGGTTCCCGTATGTTTTCAATATCAAAACCCTAATATGTAACTTACCAGTGTATGATTAGTAACTAGGACTGACACTGTAAAGTTCTTGTCAGTATCTAAAATTGCTAAGCTACCATCGTCGGCTTGGAAAACGAAATGACTGGAAGATATCCATGACGAAGGAAGGCGTTTGGGAGTTAGTTCACCCTGGAAAATATAATATATAAAAATACGTTTGATAAAAAATCATCAGAAATACCTGTAAATACTGTTCAAGCTTCATTCTCTCACCATGCCAGTAGAGGAGCTCGTCCACGTATCCAACTAAGAATATTGCAGCTATTATGCCAGATATCACTAAGCCAATCACCAGTAGTGAGAAAATGATTGACCACCAGTTATGACCTTCATCGTCGTGAAGTGCTAGCTCCTGTGTATAAAAAAACAATTAATTGCTATGAATGAAAAACTATAAATACAGAAAAGTATTTTTATTAAAACATGCTGGTACGACTGATTAGTTGCTCCTACACTTACTTGCTTTACATACCGATTTCCGGTCAGTTAATGCCAAGTTATGAAAAACAACTCTGACCCAATATAAACTAAAATAACATATTTTTTTATTTTTTCTGGCTGTTTTTTTATAGCGACAATAGAGACACATTACGGAACGAGAGACGGAAATTCTGCTATCTGCGTGAAGTTGGCACCCGAGGCAAAGCCGAGGGCGTTATTCACACAGTGACGCGCTTTCGACTTTTTTCTCGTGTATAGCATACTATTTTTCTTAATGTTCAGAAAAGAAGCAGGGATTGGTATAACTATGGTCGAAACAGTCAGTCACAGGAAAACAGTCAAGGCGAAAGTCATTGTAATGGGAAAATGTGATTATTTCGCTATCGGCAACAATGGCGAAACTGCGAACTTTCAAAAAAGGAGATCAACAAAAACAATTTAAATGTAATATAGATTGACGAAATAGTTTAATATGTTATTAGAAGCAAAAGTGTTGTTTTATCAAAAAAGTGTTATGTGAGCAACTATAATTCCGACAGTGAATACGTAGCAGTTATTGTTGGTTATTTTTCGCATTATAATTAGGTATCTATTAATTTTATTTAATATTTATATAAAACTATCACTCCCTAAAGCAAACTGAGCAAACTGCTCTTTTAACTTAAAATGACGATTTTTTCCATTGTCGAGGTTTGAAAATTAAAATTATATATCTTATTCGGAGCAAAACTATGTGTGTGCGTCGGTTAAATCGAATTGCCTCACTCGCTGCCTTTTTTACTACTATCAATTCCCTGGCAAATTTCTTTTAAAAGTCTACTACGACTTTTTAAACAGTGCTAAAAAAATTTTGCAATCTTGACTCTGAAAAAAAAATGGCTGGTGTTAGAACTCGTGTTTTCCGTGTTCAGGTTTAACAATCACATTCTTACAATAGATACTAAAACCTCCTTGAACAATGCGAAAAATAGTGATTTTGAAAAGTGACTGTAAAGTAAAGGCTGCAATTGGATCACCAAATTTTCATAGAACGTCCCAACCGAGCCATTTCAATCCAATCGAGTTCGGACAAGGCATGCTGGCCTGATCAATTGCATAAAATCATAGAACAACAGGTTTTAGAGTTTAAAAATAGCTTTATTTCAGAACTCTTTCTAAAAACAATTGTTTTATAGAACCATATCTTGTTCACTCGTATGGAACATGGAAGGTAGTTTCATAATATTACGTTCCAGGTAGCGTCTCGAAAGCTTCATAAGTATGTTTAGATATCGGGTTAGGGCCTGAGCTAAAAACTCAATTTGACCCTTTATTCAGCCTAAGGCTGTAATATTTTATTTTTGTTTATGTTTATTTTTGGCCTCTTCAGCCTAAAGAAAGACCTTTTTCAAAGAATGAAAGGAGCTTCACTTTTGAATGGTTTGATTGGTATTTCATTACTCAGTTTTTTTTTAATTTTTAATATTAGACATCAAATATTCAAATAAGTTTCTTTGTAGATGTAAAAATTGCTTGCTTTTGAACCCTGTATATGTATGTAATAATAAAGGAAGTACAGTAATAAAATATAAAAGCATAATTTGGTTTTTCTACGGTTCGTGGTAGACTGTAATACGGATAACATTTTAAAAATTACAAATTAAAAAATCTGGCGATAAGTATTAACATGTTGTACACGTTTGTAACTAGATGCGGTGTTTTTATTATAGGATATTAATACGTTGATTAAAATGATTAGAAAATGTCGGAAAATACACTGACTCAAATATGCATTTTCAACTGACTTTTGGTTGTTCCAGTGTATTGTTCCAGTATTTTGAGTGTTTTCTATGACTGGTTTCGCTTTGGGAGACTTTGGAAAAAATCCGGAAAAATAGTAAAAAGTTATGAGAAACACGGTGTTTTGATTCATACCTAAAAAAGGCGTAAATACCTATTGCTGCTTGTCTAAATCAGAAAAGGTAACAAGCGAAACAAAAAACACATTTGCAAAAAAATGAATTATCCTATTGATGAAACTGTGATTATGCAAAAATCTAGTCTGTGTAAACCAATTTCTGGTTTCAGTATTTAGTTTTCTACGACTTCATTCCCAAAGGTCTAGTCATTCCATAACTTTTACCCATGTTTTCCTTTTATTTATGGCGGAACAGGAAGTTTTAGGTTTAATTTTGACAGCTTCCGGAATCGATAGAATAGTTTGACTAATCAAATAAATACTTATTTGAAATTTTATACCGATTTTAATACAACATAATATAAAATTTTGACTACATTCCTCTAGCACTCCCCTCTTATTTTGGTTCAAAACCTCAACATCAAAAATATATTTCAATAAAACACGTGCACAAATTTATTCATTCATTCATTGATTATATTTTAAATATTTTTGTCTCTTGGTTATTTTTATGGCATTTCTCTGGTTTCTGGGATATTTAATGAAATTCAAGACTAATTTAAATTAACCTACATTTTATTCAGCGTTACAGCATTCTTCGGAAACTTAACAGGATTTATCTACACTAACGTTTTTGTAAAATATTTAGTAATCATTATAATTTTTTCTTTTCCGAATTCCAGCTTAATCGGATGAGTAGTTCAAAATTAATCAGAAAAAGGGGAAAAAATCTTATTTCAACGCCCTCCATCTCTGAAAGGTTGCAATTTGAAGAACAATTTTATATCATGTAGGAACATTATTTTAATTAACATGTTCTGTCTAGTCCTAAAGTTATAAAGATTAAACCTGAATCATCCTGCATATTTCTATGTAGCCGAAAGTGTGAGTGTGTTATCACCTTCGCTCATAAACTATAATTCTGTTGGAGTTTTGTGTTAACGGTAAATTTTGTGCAAAAATGTGCAGGATGAGACGATAGCAATACAATTTTTGTCAATTTTTGCTGAAGGTAAAGTTCTTTGTAATCCTCCAGTTCATAGAAAATCTGCTCGAGATATTTTCAATTACTGCCTCAGTGCATGTTTTCGGATGTCAGATACTCAAAATGAAATTAATCGTTTCCTACAGGTACTGAAATCATTTCGGTATTCAGCAGTTGATTTGCGGATTTGTTTCAATTTTCAAGAGCACGATTAAAAATAAATTTTCTCGTATAAACAACATATTAGTGCATGCGTTTCTCATGGAGATGATTTGACCTATTTAGAGTTTGTTCAAAAACCGAAATCTTAATGTTAGTTCTATTTTGTCTGACTTAATATTATATTGTCATCTTAGTGATTGAGGAGGATTCGTAGGTACTTATAAATAATTTCCTTATAGTATTCCCCATAAAAAGTGCTATGATAGACAGAAAATTTCCTCGCTTTCTCTTTTATAAATTAATATGGAGTTCTCTACTTTACAAAAAAAACACGATTTTTTTCTCAAAACGCTAAATAGTGTTATGTAAAAATTCGATAGAATTAGTAGCAAAGTACCTTTCGAGTTATTCCTAGTTTTTGAACACGCATTTTCAACTGTGCTATTGAGCAGTATTTTAAAATAGTTGAGTGATGATTTGGACTAATAGCATAAGTAAAAATTGAAAAGATAGATTGCAAAACTTGCGTCAACTAACGCAAAATTTATATGTGAAAAGATGGTGTTCCAACTAAAAAATAACTATTTCCATATAATAGCCCAATGTAATCAAATGAACTCAAGTCTGGAAAGCGCACCGGCCATAAAATACGATCTTTATAGCCTATATGTATTTCGAGCAACTCGTTAGTTGAGTAACTGGTAGCAATTTTAGCATTGTGTGGAGGAGCTCCGGCCGGTTGGAACATCATTGACAATCGCTTTGTTTTTTCTTCCTTTTTCTGGAAGTACCGGGCAATTATTACGGGAAAAATATATATGTCAATAACCCGCTAAATTACATTCAAAGTGCAGGTACATATGTGCGAATCTCAGACGGTGGAGATTGAAAGGAACATGGGATTGAATTGATTTAGGAGAGATTCGTTGTTGCTAAAAATTATCTCATATGCTGGAGTCGCAACAATTAGGAACATGAACCGTGCCTGAAGTAAGCCGCCTGGACACTCGAACAAGGACAGCAACTAGTTCGGCTCGGATGAAAAATACATGGGCGAAAGGAAGCACATATTTCCGGAGTGACATTTTTAGGCTAAACTCAAGCGATTAGACATGGGTAACTCAGTGGATTTTCAGGAGCTGGCGCAGTGACGCCGAATTGGTGCACCAACCCATCGCACCGACGCAGTAACTCCCGGTGCAGTTTTAAATGCTAAGCGTAATTCAAACTGCTGCGCAGTGAGACGCGATGAGTTATAACCTGTGGGCGCACAAAGCGGCAACAACTGAAAAGCGCAACGCAGCACAGTGTTACCCATGCCTGCAACAGATGAAAAGAGGATCGACCGGTCCTTGAGGTGCCTGAGTTTAGCACATCTGTAGGCTGCACTTGCATACACCAAAAACTCAAGACGGCTCCGATGAAATCGAAAGCATTAGTGATCTATAAGCAGAGATTAGTTTACTACATAGTTTTCTATTAGTTAGCTACTAATCTCTCGTATAAGTTTCTTTCGTGTTCATGTAAACGACTTTCGCGACGTTCTGAGCAACAGCGTCTAACAAAGTTTGACCGTGGTATGTTGAATAACTAAAAACCGTTTTCGAAATCTGAATATTTTCTGCGCATAAAAGTTTTGGCCCTTCTAATAAAAGGCTAAAAGTAGGAGTATCTCCACTAGCAAATACTATTACGTTTTGGAAATTACATAAAATTTGTATATAAATTTAACATAATTTTGCAGTAAGTTTGCTATATTCAAAAATTTTATTAACAACAAGTAACACATAACAGTCGCTGATATTTTAAATTAATATTTTGAAAGGTAAACCGACTTGACAGTGAGAAACATTTGAAATGTGTGAAAATGATAAATTAATATTCGCTTACATATTTAATCATTTGTTTTTGAGTTTATGTTCCAAGAAAAATATTGAATCCCACCGAAGTTTCCAGCTGCTGATATTAATGAATCTGAATCTCAACTATGTACGTAAACATATTGAAAATATCATTAATACGCACTTTATTAGAACCCAAGCTGCTAGTTTCAAAGTTATTTACAACATGCACTTTAACAGGCAAATAATAAGATTTAAAAACTTACTTTTGGAATTTCGCATAGACCCTGATGGACTGTTCCACATTGAGTACAACTGATTCTGCTTTGTCTTCCTTGCGATATAACACTGATTCTTTGAGTTTTTGAGTGTGGATCACCATAATCCATATCATGTTCCTCAGATAAATTCGGAACTTGTTTTGACGACATGTTTTATTTTTGTACCGTCAGTTTTAATATTTTCCAAATTATCAATGCAAAATGCTATTGAGCCAGCGTCTTTACATTATGGAATAGAATTTATTGTAGTCTAGTGAAAAAAAATTTCGATTGAATGAAAACTTGCTTTTTAATTCGGAGGATAATTTTTGGGCATTAATATTCCAGATTTCACTTAATTGTTTTTGACGTGACATATACTAGCTATTTTTTATCCAATTCTGTGGTTAACACCGTAAAGTATCCAGCACCTGCACTTAGTTACTCATACGCAATCATATATCATAGTTAGATGAGCACGTAATGTTGGTAAAACAATATATTTCAGTTGAGCTAATTTTTCGAATTTTTTCACTTTTAACAGTTAACGCAGTTTCACCGCATGTCAAGGCGTCAATACGAACACTGATCAACAAGCTGAACTAAAAGCTATCAAATTAGCCAGTTATGCTCTCACATTCCATAGGCGTTCATTTTAATTTACTTCTCATTTATTTCAGTCAAAATTTGCACTTTAAATAATTTATATGGTAGTAAATTAATTATTAAATCCTTGGTGAAACTATAAGTAGGTAAAAAATATAAGACTTTTGTTGCAACTCGAATATTCCTTTGTGATCAACATATATTCAGTTTTTACGAAGCTCAGCGTCAAGTATACATCCAGACCGATATTTGTTGATATAAGTCCGTGGTCAACATGTAAATGTTATTTGTGGTTAGTTTTTAAATTGTGATCTTCTAAACAATTTACTTTAAAGTCGCAATTGAAAATGCAAATTTATTTTAGGGAGATTAATTCTACTGAGAAGGTCACATTGCAGGCATAAGAAGAAGCCCTTAAGCAACATTTAAGACCGTTTTGTGCTTCACACAAACAAGCACACACGATTTAAATGTTTCGCGCAGGTTTAAACACAGTATCAAGTAACAGGTGAATAAATCTTTGCTAATAGTTTAAGTGTTCTGCTATGTGTGGTTAACAATAAATAAATATAAACAAAACGTAAAAAAGGTGCAAATGATTGTACGTAATACTAACATTTGAAACATTAGATTGTTCTCATCTCATCAAAATGGACAATTTATACTTGAATCTGTATTTTTAGTTTCATTGGTTACGTTCGTTTTTTTAAGGAAGATGCAAAATACGTCATTAACAGATGCAAATCAAATAAATTTTGCCTACTTGTTTACTCAGTTTTTTTGAAATATCTGAGTTTTTGGGGACACCATTTTTTTGCTTACTGTATCTGTACACTCTAAATGCGCCAAATTTTACCTCTTAACTATTTGATAATATTAGATTGTCAATTTTTAAGTTTAGAATTTATTTATTCAAAATTAACTCAAAAACTGGACGAGCTTTTTAAATTTATTCATTAAGGTATTTATATTTTTTATTTACTTTGTTTACTACTCTTCATCAGTTGCTTTTGCTCTAGGTTTCTTTATAACTTTTCGAACTGTAAAACACTAATTGATAATTTAGGAAACCAGATGAACTCAGAATGGTAACAACTACAGTGAATATCATTGAATAAATATTATCTATCATTTAGGACGAACTTTAAAAAAAGTTTAGCGCATGAAAAAAGGTGAATCTGCAAGAGGGAATGCGATTTACGAAAGCCACTTGCAGCAAACAAAAGATCGAATGATTGACTTCTGTTTTTGCCTTCGTTAACAAGATACATATGATTATTTTTTAATTCGTTTTTTTCTCGAAGGTACCAATTCTTCAAGATGCACTTTCAACTTTACTATTAAAAAATATTTGAAAGTAGTTAAATGGTCCTTTGGCAAACTGTATAGATGCAAATAGGCGAACAATGTGAAACATATGTTTAGTTTGTTTTCTTTGAGTATATAAATAGTTACATAATACACCCACTCAATGCGTGGAGCGTTTTTATTAAAAGCTAATAAATTTTTGTGCGAATTGAGTATAATAATTTTGCCAAACCATTCTTAATAATCTTATTATGTTGATTTACAATACAATACAAGGTAGCTCTACAACCCATATTTTGATTTCTTTAAGTCAAACTATATCGGACAAAATGCCAATTGAGGGCATCAGAAGTAAAAAGGTTCGAGTGCACTTTTTAATAAAAGCATAGTCAAGTGAATAATATGATGGCTAAAAGTTGTTACTGTTTATTGGAAAGAAATAACGCTTATATCAAGCGCAAAGACAAATTAACGTGGTAAATTAAGTAATATGTAAAGAAATTAAAAATTGGGATTAAATCACGACGACAAATATACTTAATCGAACACTCAAGTCCAGCAAATTTCCTGGTAAATACATTATGTACGAAGACAACAAATAAGAAGTATGTTTCAAATTTATTATGTCCAGTTGCGAATGTTGGTTTACTTGAATTATGTTTTTTCTTCTAAAACTATTGAGTACACATGTGAAATTTAAACTATTACATTCATTTACGTCAGATATACGCATGTTTTTGCCATGAATTTGGTTGGAAACAATATCATATTCTAAAAGTGTCAAATTAAACCCTCATTTCAGGAACATCTTGATCATCCTGGTTTATAATTACTTTCCGAATTTGACTCTTACAGTTGCGGATTTACATGTAAAGGAGAGGACAGTTGTGTAATGCTTATGAATAAGAATTTCCAAATCACATTTAGTGAAAAATCTAGTTGCATCCAAATGTCTCCATTTTAAGATCCAGTAATTAAATTGAATATGTTCTTTGTATTTCCTGAAGGTCCCCCAACTTTATGAATAAATGTATCAACTTATTCCCCTCAGGTTTGTTTGAAAACATGTACATATGTACATTTTTTACGTGTCGAAAACGGTGAGAGATATCGACTATAGCGAGCAATTGCAAATTTTTTATTTAGAAAATATCGTATTTTAAAAACCAAAAATTTTTTGATGTTTTAAAAGGTTCCACACTATTCAAGCTAGCGCCCTCTAGAATCTGCAAGCTAGCTAACAGGAAATTTGAATTTATTGATCTAAGAAACTCCCAAAAACAAATTTTTATGACCATAATAAAACTGGTTAAAACTCTACTAAAAATAAACGACAATTTGATTTACACTTTGACACCTTGTGTGTATTTCAAAAACTATTAACTTTCAGATCAGTAAATCGGTAGCCAGTCTTTTGTGTCGTGTGAATCGCGTTTTTTGATGATAAATATAGAAAAATTGAGACTCTATTCCCAGGATAGTTTGTAGTTCGATATTCATTTTCTGTGTGCGATCAAGGGTGGTGAGTCCTTTTGAAAATAAAGGGGCATAAAATGGAGTGTAGGAACCAGCATGCAGAAAGCTGGTAGGAATTATTTCTAATTATAAATCCTTTAGATTCAACTGAGTTTAGTTTTTCGAAACGCAACTGAAGTTTTATGAATTTTCTACATTTATCTTCTTTTGTTGAATTTCAATTATATGGCTCTGGACCCATTTTCTGCTCCACTAAACACATTTTTTATCTTTCCAGGTGGCACGATTCAGGTTTCGGTAAGTTTGGCATTACTTTACTACTAGATGTAGAACTTTTATTAATCCCAAATTACTGACATGTATTTCATTATATTGTAGCATTTAATATTTCTACGTCGAGAAACGACGAGGGAGTTTTACATTCTGTATTGGGTTTTTTAAATTTCTTCTTTTATTTTTATAAAATTAATTTAGTTGGATTTTGAATAACTCGCAGTTTTCTGTAGCAGGCTGATTTTTTTAAATAAATTTTACAATTTAAAGGTAAAATAAATGTTATAAACCAATTACATTCGAATATAAAGGGTTTTTGTATTCTTAAAGGGGATTGCCTTTTTTGCTCCGTTTTCCAACGATATCGATGGTGAGGGTTATGTCCCGTAAAATAGTAGTATTCTAGTGCGAAGGTAAGTGGTCCTGGTCTAATAATTTAGATTTCGCGCTGTTTTTCCAAATTTCACACCCTAAATAAATTATTTTTGTCAAACGATTTGTGCTAGGAAATTTAGGGTTTTCCGAAAAAACGGATCCGTCTTACTATTACAGTTTTTTCGCTGAAGCGCACTTCAGGCTGTAAGTGGTCCAAGTCAAGATTATATCCAGACTTCCGGCTGGTTCTCTAAATTTAATTGACTTAATGTTTTTTGACAAAAAATTGGAGTTTTATAAATTTTTTGCGGTCTGAATCAGGACAGCATTTTATTTTGTAGTTGCTATATGATTGTTGCTAGAAGTATATAGCAATCAGGGTTGTTGTTTTTTTTTATTTATGCTGCTCGCATATGCAGGTTTGTAAATTTGATGAAGCGAAATCAATATTGTTTTTGCGGAATGTATATAGCGGTTTTCTTGAAAAATGGTAGTGCACTTATCTTCTTGCAACTTAGAACTATTAATATTTTATTATCTCAAGTCAAACAGGTAACTTTTTAAAAGGCTTCCATCACTAATAACAGCTTTTCTTTATAGCTTTGAACCTTTTGATGTTTCATTAATACTCTTTTTTCTACTTACATTATGACTAAGTTAAAGTTTTTGCTTCCACATTGAACTATTCATATCGTATTAAATCCATTTGTTATTTCGTTAACATACTTTTTTGTAACTTCCTAACTTTTTTTGAATGTATTTATCTACTAATTAAAGTTTTCTTGCAGCTTTGGAATAAATATCGTGTTTTTTGTGTCGTATAAATTAAGTTCCTAGATGGGAAGTACATAATCATTATGGCCTTTAAGGCAAGTCGGGTTGGTTGTTTATTGTGCCTGCTAACTGCAGGATTAAAATTTTCAATTCAATGTGGATTGCCATTGTGCGTTTAAGTGCCGTGTGGACTTTGAACATTATGAGCGGAAAATGGAGAATGGGGCGCCAGCTTGCAGAAAGTTGGTAAGAATAATTTTAAATCTATAAATCCTTTAGCTTGAACAGAATTTAATTTTTCGCAAAGCAACTCACGTTTTATAGATTCTTCACATTTCCATTTCTTTGCTTTGCTTATTTTCGATAACAAGACTTTGTACAAATTTTCCGCGGAACAAACACATTTTCTTCTTTCTTTCCATGTGGCACAATGCAGCTTTCCGTAAGTTTGGCCTCCCTTTTTCCCTGGTTGCCATGTAGATGTAGAGTTTTTAGTCCCATATTGTTGACTTGAATTTTACAATATTGTTGCCTGTCATATTTATTCGACATGGAACGACGAGAAAGTTTCTGGATTCTGTATTGGCTTTTTGGATACTTAATGTAAAGTCAGACTTTGGACATTAACTCGATGTTTTCTATGGCAGACTGTTTTTATGTAAACTTTAGCAGTTTATTTTTAACTTTAACAATTACACTCGAAACTAAACAGTTTTTGTATTCTCAATGGGAATTGCCCAGCTTTACAAAGTTTATCTTTTTTGCGTCGTTTTCCAACTATTTTGA